AGAGATGGAGAGATTTCTACAAACCTAAAGCTGTAGAGTGAGAATAGAAGCCTGAGTATCTTGTTTCCATCTCTGGTTCTGAGCATGGGGCTACAGAAAGCAATTTTTAGAAAACATGGTTCCATCTCCACCTTGTTCCTGGGATTAGAAAAAACGATTTTTGAAAGGGGAAAATACATTTATGAACTGTTGGTGTACGGTAACAAGGAAGCCCTAGAATATATTTTAACATGGCACCAAAGATGATTTTATAAATAGAAACAGAACAAATGTTTGGTGCAATTTCTTTTTGCCCTTGTGGACACAGTTTCACTTGCTCAGGTATGAACACTAAGCAAAGGTGACCCCAGCCAGGAAGTTAAGGTTAATAATAGGTTAAGGCTAAGGAGAGCAATCTCTTAGCATCTGGCTCTTTAGCAAGAAACAACAATCTGGTTCGGTAATTAAAGCTTTAGCTTGTGGGAAAAAATGGGTTTTAGTTCCGATGTATTTATTACAAGTGGCTTGGAAGCTATCTCTTCGACTTACATCCCTAAATATTGCATTCTTTATTTACACAAAACGTAAGCATTTTCAGTTTCTAATGATCTGCCTGGCAGGAAGAGGAACAACATGAAGGCTTGGTAAAACCACAGGTAGATGAAATGAGTTTCATGTCAGGTCCTAGATATCCTAAGGTAAACTGTCACCACGTTTATCCCCTGCTAGGTACAGACAATGCCCAGGAATGTGAGCGTGCTAAAAAGAAGTCAGATTTTTGCTGGTCTACGATGAACTACGACCACTGTGACTAGTAAAGACTGTGACTACTAGTAGCTGATTCTAACTTTGGAAATAACGATCTTTTCAGGCCTAGAGGAGGGTTCTCAATTTCAGAGCAGTTACGACACGCTACCGGTAAGATCAATTTTACTTTTATTGGAAAAATACTCTACACGTAGACTAAGTAAGAGTTGGTTTTTCTGAAGAAACAGTAAATGGCTTTGAGGTCGTAAGAGTGGTTACAGGAACTGAGGCACCATAAAATTACATGTCCAAAGTCAATGGGTTAGAAGCCAGTGCTGAAGCAAGGAATTCTAGCATTGATGTCCGTCCTCTCTGAGGAAAGGAGTTTGATCTGAGAGCCACAAGATAATGCTAATTGGATTAGTAACCCACAGGTATTCAGATACCCGCACCCCAGTGCTCTAAATGCCCTAGGATTTAGTTGCTATTTTGAAAGAGTGGTTATTGGACTAAACTAAGGCTCTAATTTTACAAGGTTTTACCATCAGAGGATTAGGCTGACCGTCTAATAGGAAAGGATAGATGACTTTACATATACAGGTAGTTCCGATTTTTGATATATTCGACTTGTGATGAACCACTCTTACGACTGTTTTTTTTTATACATTTTATTGAAAGTAATATGTACTACATACAATGTTGCAGCATGAAATTTGCTAATGTTATTCTCAGATGTTCACTCACAAATGTTCAATGTTGTGATTTATAATATTGATAATAAAAGGCAATAATAACAAAAACTAAAAAAAAAAATTGAGGTATTCGACTTCATCAGAACTGACTTAATGACAGAGTCCTATGTTGGGAACTACCTGTGTCTCAGGAACTAGACAAGGAACAAATGTTATTTTTATGAAACAAGTTAGACACCAGAGATGCAGACAAGACCCTTGCTCTCATGAAGCTTCTCTTCTAATACTGAATGGCATCTCACTGCTGGGCAATGGAAAAGTGTGGGGGAAATAGGAGGGGGATTAAGTGATGGAAAATCTTGAAATCCAGAGTCGGGGGAAAAAAACAAACAAAACCACACCACCTTATTTTGAGAAGCTGGATAGTAAGCCAATGAGTCCTGTGAACTGAGGACTAAGTGGAAGGAAAACTTCCTCAGAAGTGATTTGTCTTCTCCCTCTTAACGAGTTTCTTACATAAACACTGGCATTTAGGCTAAAAAAAAAGTGTGGTCTTTCTGCCAGGCACCTAAGGGACCATTTAGGTGGCATTAATTTAATGACCTTGTCACCAATCTTTTCAGAATGTCTGGCCTTATCCATGTCGAAACGGACTTCTTCAAGATAGTTTCAACTTACAGAATCGGCTCGCTCGCTCGTTTATAGCAACAGCACTTTCACGCTCCGAGAAACGCTAAGATGTTGCCGTAGTCTCACTTAGGAGGAACTGAAGAGGTTTGCTACCTATTTCTCGGGAAGGGAGGTTTAGCCTGGTTATTCTGTAGTGGGACAGAAACAAAATGAAGTCCTCTATGGTCTTTTCTTCTTTAAAAAAACTTTGTTTTTTGGTTGAAATTACAAAAGCAGTGTGTCTCTTACAGAAAAATCACAAAGTAGAACTAAGGAGGAAAAGAAAAATCACCCACAATTCCACCAGTCACTGAGAGCTCAGGTTAACGTTTTGCGTATTCTTAGTTTATTCTGCCTCTCTCCATACCCTATAAAGAAATGCAATCATATGGTGCATAGTGTATTGTGATTTGTCTCCTCGCCCTCTTAATAACCTACATTTCATAATGACTGTGTAGACGTAAGAGGCTGAATAAATTGGCTTTATTCAAGCATATGATACACATGAAAAAATTTCTATTTTCTTATTAATAGAGTACACCCCTGCTCCCATCCCTATCAAACCAAACCAAACCAAACCAAACCCACTGCCATCCAGTCGATTCCGACTCAGAGCGACCCTGTAGGGTTTCCAAGGTTGTAAATCTTTATTTGGAAACAGATAGCCACATCTTTCTCCTGCAGAGCAACTGGTGGGTTCAAACCTTGACCTTTTGGGCGGTAGCCGACTGCTTTAAGCACTGCGCCACCAGGGCTCCTCCCATCCCTATAGCCTGTCTCTAAATTCCTAAGTAACCTTTGACCAGCCAGGGTTTCGGGGTTCGAGCACACAACGTGTGCTGAGAAGGGCAGCCCGGCTGCCAAGTTCCTGACCGCAGCCACGGTCCTCCTCTCGAGACCACTCCGTCCTTCTTCCAGAGCCTGGCCAGTGGTCCAGGGAGAGGCACTCTGCGGACCCAGGGGTCCCCCATTCCCTCTTACACAGTAGAGCCCGAGTTCTGGGAAGCCGGGGTCACCCTGCGTCCCCTTCTCCCCGCGGCAGCCTTCCTCGCGGACCGTCCCAGCACCTCGCCCAGGGGGAAGACCTCGGAGGGGCTCCCGGGAACCGGTGTCGGCCCAACTCGGGTGTCGTGTCGCGCCGGGCCGTGCCGGAGCCGCGCGAGGCCGCGCCGTCCCTGAGTGATGACGCGCTTCCTGCCCTCCCGGCGCTCGCGGGCCGTGCGCTCGCGCTCGCCCTTGGCTCTTGTTGGGCGCCGGGAGTCAGCGGCGGCGGCAGCGCTGAGGCGGCCGCGGGAGCCGAGCGGTGGCCGGGCGCGCGGGGGGACGCAGGCTGCACTCCGGGGCGGACGCTCTGCCATGAGACAGTAAATGCATCCCCCGGTAAGCCGCTCGGATCGCTCGGGTTTCCCCTTCCCCCGGCTGCGTGCACGTTGCATGAATTTCTCGTGTCTTTTCCTTCCCCTTTACCCAAGGAAAATGTGGGTGGTTTTTCTTTCCTTTTGCATCTCGTGAGAGACGCCAAATACAGGGAAAAAACCCCGCAAAGCTCTCAGGTTTGCTGTTCTAGGAGGGTTTTTTGCAGAAACATAAAATAAAATAAAATGAATGCACCTGTCTACTGCACATGTATGTTGCACTGCACTCGACCCGGGCGCAGCGGCTGGCAAACAGCCTCGCAGCCGGCGCCCGCGAGCGGATTCCTGACGGTGGGCAGCTGGTCCCCTTCGGGGCTCCCCTGGGTTTCCGGTAACCGGGCTTTGAAAAGCGGCCCCGCCTGCATGGAGTGTCCCCTCGGCCCTGCCGGCCCCCACGCCAGGAGAGTTGGCGCGGGCGGAGCGCCTTCATTCCAGCACTGGCCGCCCGGACTCCAGCCCCACTTTGCAAACAAGTCTCCGGCCGCGGCTCGGGCAAAGCCAGCCCCCCCGGTGCGGAGCCCCTAATTCGGCCCTCGACTCAAACCTGGCAATCACTTGACTCCGCTCTAGTTGGAAACCTCGCCGCCCGCAGACTGCTGGCCGCTGAGGGACGAGGGCAGCGCCGGCCCGACAGCGAGCGAGGGGCAGGCGTTGGATTCGGTGCCGCTGGGCTCGTACTGGCCGAGCGGCGCCCTCTGCTCCCCCGGCCAAAAGCTGAGATTTCGCGCGCACTGGGAGCCGGGGCACCTGGAGACTGTCGTTTCGGGATTCCTGGGGGACCGAGGCACGACATTTGAGGGCGCCATATTTTCAGTGGGTCTCGGCTGCGGAGGGGAGGGGGCGAACGGTGTCTGGGACCCGGGGGTACGCGGCGCCCCGCAGACAGGCAGCAGCGGCTTTCGCCGGGAAAGTTTGCGCGCCGAGGCAGGCGGAGGCGGCCGCGCAGAGCGCTCGCCGCGGCTGTCCCCGCAAGGGCGCGCGGGCTGCGGCGCGTCGCCAGGCCCGCCCGGCCGGGGCCGGAGGCCGAGAGCCGCCGTCAGGGGTAGCGCAGTCGGCTGGCCCTCTTCTCCTCTCCTGCCGAGACGCAGGGTTCGGGCGCCGAGGCGCAGGGAACACGCCCCTTTCCCCCGCCGCGACGGCTGCCGGGCGGCTCTGCGGAGCTGTGCGGCTGGCAGCGTCCCTCCGGGCGCCGGGGCTGGCCTGTGCGGGCCGCGGGGTCTCAATCCCTGCGGGAGAGGACGCACCCCGGCTCTGGGGCGGCGGCCTGGCTTGCGGTCGCCGGGGGCCGCCCACCGGCCGGAGCCTCGAGTCGCCGCCTCGGCTGCAGCGGCGGCCGCAGCAGTAGGAGCACCGGCGGCTGCGTGGTCGGCCCTCGCCGCGATGCCAGCCCGTGGAGGCGAGGAAAGGGGAGCGTTTCCAGAAGTTGGGGCTTCAAGGGACGCATGGGGGAAACTTGGATTCTCGCTGCTCGTGGAGAGCTGCGGTGGCTTGGGGAAAGAGAGTTGGGCCAGAGACCCTGCGTCTCGTAGTGAAAACTAACCTCTGTTTATTGTCAGAGGATAAGAGAGGAACGAACGACAGTTGTCAGTGTCATTAAAGACAAGAGGGTAGTGGTGCTTTCCTGGAGAAATGGACCCCCAAATTGATGTAATTTACAAGCACCCTGCCGTTCTTAAGTAGCCCTTACTTTGACTTCCAACAGTACCTGGGTATGCTGAGTTGTGTGTGGCGTTCCTCAGGTTGCACGCTATCCTCTCTTCTGCAGAGCTTGGGGTGAACGCCTTCTTAGGAGTGGTGCAAGGAGGAATCTCGAATTTTGAAATAAATTGTGTCCGCTTTGCGAAGGGGCAGTGGAAGGTCGTGATTGTTGCCCTGAATCAGCTGTGTGCGGCAACCTGCCCGCCTTTCTCCTTGGCGTCTTACTGAAATGATTGTCTCGAGGTCATGTGAGCCCTTGGGGTCTTCATCTTTGGAGAGGCTGGAAGGGCCAGAGAAACCTGGCAAGGCGTTTCCTCTAGATGTGCCCTGTGGTGTCAGGGATTAGGTTGCTCCTCTCTGATCCCTTCAGAAAGTGCCATTGATACCATGGTCAGCCATTGAGCTGCCAACATCCTCAGTTCCAGTACCGCTGAAGTGGGACATCTGCGCAGATGCGGAGGAGGGGCGGTGGGTGTGACAAGTGGCCTTGAGTACAGGAGTGGTACCTGCGTGAATGCTATTTTGTTTTTCACTGAGGCGTAGAATAGTGGAAAACACCCTGAGCCGGATACATTTCTCCCAAGTTAGCACAGCTAACTGCCGAAAGCCTCCATCCCTTTTGGGAAGTTTCCAGTCTTAGAAGTGGTACCTTGAATCAGGGAAACATAGGGCTCCTCAGACTTGGGGGAGCCACTGGCCTCTCTGTGCCTTCCTACCCACTGAGGCCAGGAAGGAGAAACTCAAGAGTTTTTAGAGTCTATTTTTGGCACTGTGGTGCTTCTGTCTCCAAAAGGAGTGTGAACTTTCTTGACTCTGTTGAATGAGTGCCTGGGGACAGTCTGCAAAGGCATATAGGTTGTGTGTGTGGCTTGAGTCCATCTACGCCGAACCTGTTTGTTCAAGTTTCTCCAACACTGTTGCCTAGAGTATTTTCAGGTGGAGTTAGGTTTTAGGAATAGGAGTGTGTATGCATATTATTTTCCAATCCAATACCTTTTACATATCAAAATTATACAGATCCCCCCACCCCCACTCCTCCACCCCTTACCCCCAGCAGATCGTTGGTTCCTAGGAGCAGTTAGGGATGGTTACAGGTGATGGTGTCCTTATGTACTGTCAAGGTGATTCTGACTCATAGTGACCCTATGTGATGGAGTAGAAGTGCCCCATAGAGTTTCTTAGGCTGTAATCTTTATGAAAGCAGATTGCCAGGTCTTTCTCTTGAGGAGGTGCTGGGTGGGTTTGAACCAACAACGTCTTGGGTAGCAGCTGAGCTCTTAACTGTTGTGGCACCAGGGCTCCTTTACAGGTGGTGAAAAATATAAATGTTTAATAATGATACTAACGAAACCATCTGAAGATGGGCTGATTTTAGTATTATGTTTTATAACTACATATATACACATATATTCTTATGTATGTATCAAATATTATATTTGAATTACTAAGTTAAATAAGATACATTTTTTTTAAAAGAAATGTATTGAACACTCTAATAATGATTCCCATTTAGTACCGTAGTAGTTACCTATTTTTTATGCCTCTTTTAACAAAGTTATAAATTGTGCTTTGTTTTGTTGCCTCTTGCCTGATTTCTTGTTATGTATCTTCATGGCTTGGTAAGAGTTCCTGCATTGTTTTTTCCTGTTAAGATGATTTTGTAACTTCAAACGTTGAAAAGCGCCTATGCATTTAAAACGGTGGTGTGTGGTGTGTGTATTGTGGTGAGTGTGTGGTGTGCTCAGATCTTGGGACAGTGTCTAAAACTTGTGATCTGACATCACTACTCTAGAACTTTTGAGTCACATTGTTTTCTTGGAGATTTTGGGTGGTGTTTGACCAATACAGGAAGTACTAAAAAAGAGTTAAATAATTCAAAGTTATTTTTATTGGGTACAGAAAATGTTAAAGAAAAGAAGGAAAATATAATAGGCAGGGCCAGAATTACAGCTTAACACACCCAACTGGTGCCTTTTTTATTATAATAGTTTCCCCTAGAACTTCTTAATTCTTTTACATTTATATTTAATGAGGACACTGGTGAAAACATAAGCCAAACAAAACTGTTACAAATAATGGGGATAGATGGTGGGTATAACCAGATGTTTTGCCTAAAGTTAAGAGAGTTAAGGAATCTGAACTCTGCTGAACTCCCCCGCCGGCTCCATACACCTCTCCCAAAAAGCTGGAGAGTGTGAAAGGCAAAAAAATTCTTGGGGTGGGGGGCAGAAAACCCAGACATTTTGAAGTGAATCTTTAAGGTAATTCCCTTTTATCCATTGACCATGCTAACAACCTTTGGCTCAGTGGCAGATGCCATTTGAATGACAGCTGGTGGGCAAAGCTGGGTGCAAAATGGCTTGGGCTGTGAGCGCCTTTCCTTACGGGAGTCCAGAGCTCTGCACAGGGACTGGGCTCTTTTGCTGTGAGCGCCTTTCCTTATGGGAGTCCAGAGCTCTGCACGGGGACCGGGCTTTTTTGCTGTGAGCGCCTTTCCTCATGGGAGTCCAGAGCTCTGCACGGGGACTGGGCTCTTTTGCTGTGAGCGCCTTTCCTTATGGGAGTCCAGAGCTTTGCACGAGGACTGGGCTCTTTTGCCATCTGTTTCACAGTGGGTTTTCAGAGGCAGTGCCAAGACCATGGTTTTGTTCTTCTCTTCACCAACAATTTAATTTCAGCCAGACTGATGTTCTGAGTATGTAGGACAAGTAATGGCTATTTCCCTTTTACTCCGTTAGTTAATACTGTTTTAAGAGGCAGAATTCTCTGTGTCTGCTACTTGTTCAGCAAATGTTTCTGAGGGGTTGCTATTTGCTTTATGCTAAGAAGACATCCCCTGCCCTCATCCCACACACTGTGTTCCAAAAGGATGATATCTTGTACTTTATATATCTACTAGATTGGAAGGGGGGGGGCACAGTGCATGATGAAATAGCACTTGAAGGACAAGTACTTCAACTTGAAGGAGCCATGGTGGCACAGTGGTTAAAGTGATCGACTGCTAACCAGCAGCTCCATGAAAGATGTGGCAGTCTGCTTCTGTAAAGGTTTACAGCCTTGGAAACCCTATGGGGCAGTTCTCCTCTGTCCTATAGGGTCCCTGTGAGTCCGAATCGACTTCACTGCAGTGGATTTGAAGGACAGCACAGTAGACAGAAGAGCAAGAACGTGAACCAGCAGTTCACTAAAGAGATGCAAATAGTATAAACATATGAAAAGATTCTCAGGGAAATGCAAATGACGAGCAAAGCGAGAGTAGTTTTCTGT